GTCCACGTGACCCGCAGCGCCCAGCCGCTGTCCCTGCCTGGGTCTTGTGCAGCGGCCGGCACCAAATGCCTCGTCTCGGGCTGGGGCATCACCAACCATCCATGGAGTAAGGGGGTCAGGGGCTAAAGGCTGGGACGGACATGAGAGGTCAGGAGTCATGACACCTCATAGGAAGGGCAGGAACAGGTCAGGGCGTGGGGTCAGATGTCAGGATCATAGATGGGGGTCGGACGCCACGGCGGATTGAGGCATTGGGCATCAACATGAAGAGGGGTTGGCTATGGAGCCAGAAACGGGGGCCGGGATGTGGTTGGAGGTCAGAGTGGGGTCAGGGGTCACCGGCTGGAGGAAAGGGCAGGTGCAGATAGGAGCTGTGATGTGAGAGGGCGTCGGGCCGGAAGCCAGGGGTCCAGCTGCTGCCTGCCCTGGTCAGAATCCGAGGAGACAGGAAGTCTGAGGGCTGGGGGCGGTGCCAGAGGTTGGGGTCATGAACTCAGGGGTCAAATAAATGAGGATCAGAGGACACGGGTTGGGACAAATCAAAGGTTAGAGGGTGCAGAGCTGAGACTCCAGGTTAAGATGAAGACAGGGACATGGGGTCAGGAGGCAAGGGAAGACGTGAGGTCAACTGGCACCATAAGGTAGTAAGGTTAGCGGGGACCAGCAGGTGGCGTAATGGCTACGTTGCTGGACTCCCATGTAGTCGACCGTGGCCAGTGCTTAAACTCACGCCGGGCACTTGTGTGTGCGCGCCCAAGATCCCGGGAGGAGAATAGAAGAGATTGCAGCATGGCCATCCCCCGGGGGGGGGATCTCTCGCTTTCTGTCTCTCTGTCTTCCTGGTGAGAGCACGCGCCCTGCAGCAAAAACTTCTCCAAAAAAAGAGTAGTAATATTAAAGGTCAAAGGTCACAGTCTGGGGCTGACCCTGTGACCTCAAAGTTAAGGGAGCTGGCGCCCACACAGCTGATTGCAGTTTGAATTCTGGCTGTGTGTGAGTGTACGTGCGTGTGTGTGTGTGTGTGTGTGTGTGTGTGCATTCCGACAGGATGGAGGGATGAAGAAGAAATTGCAGTGTGACCACCCATTGGGGGATGCTTTCTCCCTCTCTTTCTGTCTCTGTCTCTCTCTGGAGAGTGCTCGTACCCTCTGCCAATTAAACCAACAAACAAACGAGTCAAAGGTCATGGTATCTGAAGAGAGTATCAGGTCTGGAGTCATCATAGCTAAGGGTGGAGAGAAGAGGGGGGTCTTCAGTTATGACCCTCAAAGTCAAAGGTCTAAGGTCAAGGGGACTGGGCCAATGATCTGGGGTCAAGGGTCACTGAAATCAAGTCAAATTAAAATCCAGAAGTTTTAGGATGGCAGGGGTATCGATGGATTCGTCTTGAGCAGAATGTGGTCTCGAAAGGGGAGCTGGAGGGGACCCTGCCACATCCTCCTCCCATCCCCAGGCCCATTCCCAGACCGGCTCCAGTGCCTGAACATCTCCATCGTCCCCGATGATGTCTGCCGTGCTGTGTTCCCCGGGAAAATCACAGACAACATGGTGTGTGCAGGCGGCGTGGCCAGGAAGGATGCCTGCCAGGTGAGTGAATGCAGCCAGGCCTGGTACCCAGGACAGGAAGTGCGGTTCCGAGGGCAAAGAGATGGGAAGCAGGAGGGGAGCTCATGGGAGAGGAGTCAGGGAACATGAATGGGGAAGAGGGAGAGGTGGGGGTCAGAAAGGAGGAGAGGCACAAAATGAGGGAGGGAGGGAGGGAGGGAGGGAAAGAACAGAGGGGAGGGCCAGGGAGTGGAGGACACAGAGGAGGAGTGGGCAGAGAGAATAGAGGGAACCCAGGAGGAAAGGTGGGGCAGGAGGCACAAAGAGAGGAAGAGAAAGAGACAGAGAGAGGGAGAGCCTAGAACTAGCCCCAAGCTTGGAGCTCAGACAGGGAGCAGGTGTCTCTGGGACTGAGACACCATCCTCTAGCTGGCGTGAACCCAGATGAAGAGTGACGTCTGAGGATGGAGCTAGGGAGGGGACCAAACAGGAGGCTCCTCCTGCCCAGAGCCCGCATCACTGCTCTGGAGAGAACCCCGCCTCCCCCCGTGGAGTCCTGCCCTCCTCCCTTGGGATTGGTCACTGGTGATGATGTTCTCTCCCCTCATTGGTCAGGGCCCCAGCCACTGTCTTTGAAAGAACGCTCTACCTTTTATGGAGTCCCGCCTTCCTTCCCTAGGATTGGTGATTGAAGATAGTGTGCTCTCTCTCATTGGTCAGAGCCTGGGCCATTGTCTTTGAAAGAATCCTCCGCCTTAAGAAGTCTCACCAACCTTAGTCTGTTTTCTGCATTGCTGACAGAAATACCCGACAGTGACCGATGTATAAAGAAAACAGAGGCTTATTGCCAAACTCACAATTCTGGGGCTAGGGAGCCCAAAAGCATCACAAACGACGAAAGGCAGAGCTGTTAGAGCAGAGCACGGTTGTTCCCAAGAGCTCTCCCGTTCTGACCTCATTCCCTCTGCTTACAAACCAGCCAGGACCCAATCACGTGCCCTGCCCCGTGGGCTAAAGCCTAAAGCCCATCCGGTCCCGACACGTGAAATCTGGGGGTACTCCAAACTATGGCACGTGGGATGGGTTTTACCCTCATAGGTCCTTGGAAGGACCCTTTTCCCTTTAAGGAGTCCCGCCCTTCTCCCCTGGGATTGGCCCCTAGGAACAAAGCTTTTTCTCTATTGGTCAGCATTGCTGTTGGGATCGGCTTGGAGCCACTGTCCTTGAGGCCCAGGAATGGGTGGGGGGTTTGAGGAGGCACAGAGCTTCACCCTTATTCAGTCTGTACTCCTCCTCCTCTCTTCCAGGGTGACTCTGGGGGCCCCCTGGTGTGTGGGGGAGTCCTTCAGGGTTTGGTGTCCTGGGGCTCTGTGGGGCCTTGCGGACAAGAAGGCATCCCAGGCGTCTACACCAAGATCTGCAGATATGTGGACTGGATCCAGATGGTCATGAAAAGCAGTCCGCCTGCTCCGTCTACCCCCACCCTCAGCTCGGGGCCACTCTGAGCCTCAGGGCACCAACAGCTCCTCCATCACTCCAGCTCCCATTCTTCTCGGCCCAAGGAATTTCTTCTTGGAATTACAAATCCAGCCAGCTCTTCTAAGGCCCATGACTGGGATCAGAGGACTGTGCGACTATGTGGAATAAAACAACTGAAGCCGGGGCTGTGTCTGTCTATTTTTTAAAATTATCTTTTATTTAAAATTTTAATCTATTCATTTATTTATTTATTTTATTTTGACCAGAGAGAGACACACACAGAGAGAAAGAGAGAGAGAGAGAAAGTAAGAAAGCAAGCCACCAGGTCTAGGACTCCAACCGTGGTCAGCCATGTGGGAGTGTCCAGCACCGTAACCACCACGCCACCTGCTGGTCCCCCGTGTCTATTTGATGGCCCCATGCTAGTTGAGACTAGAGAGAAGGCCCCCAAGCTCTCCTGCCTACAGGTGTAGAAACAAAGATCAGGGACCAGCAGTTGGCATAATGGCTATGTCGCGAGACTCCCACATAGTCGACCACGGTTTGAGTCCCGGAAACGGTGGCTTAAACTCACGCTGGGTGTGTGTGCATGCGTGCCCAAGATCCCGTGAGGAGAATGGAGGAGAAGGGATTGCGGCGTGGCCATCCCCCCTGGGGGGTGATTTCTCGCTTTCTGTCTCTCTGTCTCTATCTTTCTGGCGAGCGCACGTGTCCTATAGCAAAAACTTCTCCAAAAAAGAAAAGAAAAGAAAAGAAAAGAAAAGAAAAGAAAAGAAAAGAAAAGAAAGAAACAAAGATCACAGGGGGTGAGTTTTCCCTGAGAGTCACACAGAAGTGAAGTAGAAAAAGTTGTTTAGGGGCCAGCACGTGTTGTGGCAGTTACGTCACTGGACTCCCACACGACCAAACACCATCTGAGTTCTGGACCCAGTGGCTTCAAAATCACACTGTGTGTGTAGACTCCTGGGCGTGTGTGTGCATGCCCAAGATCCCAGGAGGAGAAGAGATTGCAGTGTAGCCTTCCCCCCATGGGGGGAGGTGATTTCTCACTTTCTCGCTTACTGTCTCTGTCTCTCTCTCCAGTGAGCACAAATACCCTAAGAGAAAAACCTCTTTTTAAAAAAGTTGTTTATAACAACAAAAACAAGGGCCATTTTCCTCCAGGTGGTATAATAGAAACAGCATCTAGAGTTTACAAGTGTTTCCAGGGCCCATAAAAGACCTGAGAGGAAAAACAAAACAAAGCAACTGCCATTGGCTCCAAAAGACCCAGGGCAAACTACAAAACCCAAATTCATGACCATTTAAATGACTATCAAACAGAACTTTCTCTCCCCTAGTCTACTGCAGCTGGGTCTTTGCAGTCCCCACACTCTGGGTTTACTGGGGGGAGTGGGTCTGCCTTCACGAGGACCTCGCCCAGGGTCAGAAGGGCTGCCCACCCCTGGGTTCTGTCCCACCCCTCCCCCAGAGGGAGAGAGACAGCGTTTTCTCCCCAAATGCAAAGAAGAGTAGCTGGAGACTGAGGGACGGTTCCGGGGGGGCCAACGGTCAGAACGTTTGCGGCCCTCTCCACAGGGCTTGTCCTGGAGGCCGCATCTCCACCCCAGCCCCGCCAGGCAGGGCCATCAGCTCCGTCTTAAAGATGAAGAAAGTGAGCCTTATGGGGTGGAGTCCCTCAGCCCACGTCATCCAGATAGGAAGAGGCAGGACCAGGGTTTGAGGCCTGGGCTGGCTGCTGTCAGAGCCCAGGCCTACCCTGCCTCGCTCCACATCTGGTCAGGGGAGAGAGGGAGATCCAGGGAAGAGAGCTGGCTGTGAACCAACAAGCGGGGAGACGGGTGAGGAAGCCCAGGGGTGAGTAAGCCTAAGCAGGGTGCAGCCTGGACAGCTGGAAGTGGGAAGGGGGCAGGGGAGGGAGGCCGGGAGCCCTGGTGCTGGGGAGCCTGCAGAGGCTCCAGGCCTCTTTCCTGGGCTCTGGCTCCCACAGGCCCCGACCTGCCTCCCCCACCCTGTGCCTGGGAACAGCCCCACCTCTGTGACACCCCAGGCCCCCTCCCCCTTCTTGGGAAGGAGAAGGGAAGGGCTGAGGAGGCTGGGGGCCCACAGGAGGAGAGACAGAGACTGGGAGATGAGATGGTAGAAGAGAAACAGAGACAGAGACAGCACTGGAGAGAGACACGCACATGCAAAGACTTAGAGCAGGGCACACGGAGAGATCGAGAGTTAAGATAAGGGGAGCAGACAGAGACAGGTGGAGAGACACAGGGACAGACAGACAGCAGGAGAAAGTGACGGACCCCATAAGCGACAGAGGTGGCAGAGGGAGACAGAACAAGAAAGGGATGGGTGGCTGCAGAGGTCCAGAGGGCCTGGAGAGGTGACAGGGCCCCCCCGCCCCG